ACTTCTTAGCTTCAACCATGCACCTTGAGGGAGTGAGTTGCTGGGTCTGTGGGCTTGATACCATGGTCAGAGGGGACATCAAGCTCAACTGGCACAATACAGTACACAAAAGTACTGTTCTACATCCTATTTTGGTCAGTAATGTCAGGGGTCTTAAAAGCTTACAAGCAGCCGTACGAGATGCAACTATTAGTCTCTCCTCGTCTGGAATGAAGAAGAATGAAGAAAACCGAAACACAGGGAAACAATTAATCCAAGGGACCAATGGATCACTGGAATCTCAGCCTATATGACCCCGCTATCAGAACTAGATGGTGCCTGGCTACCAATCCCAACCATTCAGAAAGAGATTAAAATTGGAGATCCTGGATAGAGTGGGAGAAAAAATGTGGAACAAAATTCAAAAAACATAAAACAGACCAGGATTACTTCTTGAATAGCGAATGGCAAAACTCCTGAGACTATGGCCCCAAGTCACCCTTCAGGCCTGGAAATGGACTCACTCCAAAGGCTCAACTCTCAGCCAAACAGACAGACCTATGAGCTGAACAACTATACCAAGGAGATGCACTCCTTAGAATAATCAAGCATGGGAGAGCAGAAGGGCAGCATTTAACCATTCGGAAAAAGATCAGTACAGGAGATCCTGGATAGAGTGGAAGAACAATGTGGAGCAAAACTCAAAACCATTAAAAAAAAAAAAAGACCACATTTACTGGTCTGCTGGAGCCTGATGAGACCCCCGAGACTATGGCCCCTAGTTACCCTTAAGGTCTGGACTAGCTCCTGTGGCTTCCAGCCAACCAATAGACAGACATAAAAAGTGAACATTTACATCAGGTAGATATACTCCTTAAGAGTGGTGGTAGAACAGAAGAGCAGTGTTTGCACAGGGAGACAGCTCAGGGGGCAGGAATACATAAGGAAGGACGACACAGGGAGGAAGTAGGAAGACAGCTATTACATTGTGGGAAACTGCAGTCAATGTCATGAAACAAAATGTGTACAAACTGCTGTATGGAAATGAATTTGCTCTGTAAACTTTCACCCAAATCACAATAAAA